TTTTTTTTTTTTGGTAATATACTAGATATTTAACTTTTTTTGGGAAAATGTTTACATTTCATTATAGCATAGCATATTACAATTTGACAGCTATTTCAAGTGTAGTGGGCCCTTGGACTTACAAACTCAATCGCTTCCTGAGGGCTGGTTGTAACTAAGTCAATATACCTGAGATCTGGATGTTTACCTGGGTACTCGCTCTAGGTAAACAAGAGGCAGATGAATCTTCCATTAACCTAATTAACCCAAATTGTTCATATATCAGGCTGGTTTTAACCTGAGGGTCCACTGTACATTAAAACTATTTTTAACTTTAACTCCTTCCACATAGGGTATATGATGGCACAATATACAAAAGTTAAATGAGGAGTCAAATTGACTTGGAGCTGAATCCTAGCATCTACTGGGGAAATTATTTAACTTTGGGCTGCCCTAGCTCTTTCCTCTGTAAGAGTATTATACAGTAATACCTGCCTCCCACAGTGGTTTTTATGTATTAGATAAAATACCTCTGTACCTGCAGGCTCTCTGTACCTGCAGATTCCCTAGCCACAACCTCAGATCAAAAATATCCGGGTGGGGGGGAGAACTGCATTTGAAGTCATGTACAGTTTTCTTTCTTGTCCTTATACCCTAAACAATACAAGCTGGGTGTGGTGACACACACCTATAATCCCAGCACTCCAGAGGCTGAGGCAAGAGGATTGCTGTGAGTTCAAGACCAGGCTGGGATACCTACTGAGATCAAGGCCAGCTTGAACTACAGTGAGACCTTGTCTCAAAACACAGAACAATACATATGACAATTATTTATTCAGCATTTACATAGTATTAGGTATTATACATAATCTATGACTTAAAATATACAAGATGACTTGTAGATAATTTGCAAACACTAAGACTATTTTATATAAAGGACTTGACCACCCACAGATTTTGGTCTCCTTGGGAAGATCCTGAATCCAATTCCTACATGTAGTGAGAGAGGACTAAAGTCTGTGAGTAGGATCAAGTACAGTGCCAGGCCCTAGCAACCCTGAATAAATATTAACTACTATACTATTATCCACTGCCATTTCTTTTTATTTTATTTTTTTCATACCGAGGATTGAGCCTAGGGCCTCATGCACACTAAGCGTGTGCTCTATCATTCAGCTAAATCCCCAGCTACCTCATTACTTAAAAGGAAACTTGTAAACACAATTCAACATATTCGTTTTGAGCACCTACCATGTATCAAGCCCTCTGGTATACAAAACTGAAAAACCAGGGACTTCTAAGATGGTCATAGTCTAACATGTACTCATTCTCCAAATTTACAACTACTGTGTGCATTACTGAAGGTAGTTTTACCAATAGTTTTCCTAATATGTGCCTTTGAAATGGAATGGATCATGGACAGAAAGTCACTTCCATAACCTAGTCAAAAATGAAACTAGGAGTCAGGGAGCCACCCATTAAAACAGCTGCATGATGACTTAACGTCCTTCAAAGCAACATCGCCTTCAGTGTTTCCAGTTAAGGCCAGTACAACAAAACCACAGGCCATCTTTCAGCAGCCCAGTAACATGGCACCTGCTAATGCCCAGACAGGTACTGTACAAATTGCTCCGCCAACACCCTCCAGCCAAATTCTTCCTTGAACCTCCACATCTCGTAATATATAAGCCAAGAGATGTTGAGGTTTCCCATGTCAAGTTTTCTGAGCCTTTTATGACCAATATTTTTCACACCGAAAATACTCAGTTCCTCTCCAGAGAGGCCCTTTCCTCCTGCTACTCCACAGTCTAGAACGTTTCCACAATGGCCTCTCCCCATCTCATTTCATTCTGATTAGGCACAACCACCTGCAACTGCACTTGGTCCTGAGGTATGTTAGGGAGTATTTTAGATGCAAATACCTATGTTTCCCTGAGTAAGCAGAGAAAAAAACTGCAATCTTCTAAATGCCTGCCTGTTAAAGTGACAAATTTATGGTCCTTTATAACCAAATACCTACCTCATGTGACCAGATATACAAACTAATCTTAGAAAGGTCAAAATTACCTATCAGATGAGAGAACTATGAACACAGAAAGACTAAGTCAGATACACACTTGATCAGTCAGCACAAGTACACAGAAGCCAGCATTGCAAACAAATAAAATTCACACAAATCTGATCCATTTAATAGTATGCATGATTGCTAAAAATGATAGTAATTAGGCTAAATAACAACCCATTCATGCAAGTAAATGAAGCTGGCGTTCTTTATGTAGCGTTAAACTAAATTTTTTGTCTTTTTTCCAGTTTTACTGCTTCAACAGCTGTAATCATCACTATTGTCAGCAGTTTTCTCCATCATTGTTGGCAGTTTAATTTCCATCTCCAGTGCACATGCGCAGCCAAATAAAGAAACAGGCCTTTAAGGGCCAGAGACTTAGCCCAGTGATTCCACCGCCTGACTCGCAAGTGCAAGGTCCTGAGGTTCGATCCCAGTACAAAAAAAATGACTGCTTCCCCAACCTACACCCATTGGGCTCTGAGTAGCTTTTCTATGTGTTGACTGCTCTTTGCTCTAAAATCCTAACAATTTGGTAGATGAAAGCCAAAGATGACCCTGAGGCCTGGGTTGTCCTACCAGTGATAACAGCAACATCACTTCACTGGGAAGCAGGGGAAGAAAACGGGCTTCCTAGGACAGGCCCTGCCACCACAAGGAGCAGTGAAAATGGGATCAGAGAATGCTTGGTCCCCAACCAAGGCCACTTTCACCTATTTTTACATACTCAGCGTCCCTTTTAGTTTCACTCAAGTGTCGCAGTGTTTTAATAAAGCACTTAAAAGTCACCTGCTACAAATGAAACCAGAGCATCCAACCTCTTCACTCACAAAGAAATCCCCCAGCAGAGAAGCCCAGCCCCTTGAGTTCCTTGCTGAGACAGCAAATGCAACAAAGGGAGGAGCCACTGAGGACCCTGCTCTCACTCTCCACCTGTGCTAAACCCCAGATGTGCAGCAGGAACAAGCATTTTCTTTCCTCAGGATTCCAAGGTCAAAAATAAATACACTGAGTGAAATACACTTACTCAGTAATCAATCAGAAAACAATATAAACACTAACTTAGCAGAATGAATTTCACATTTGGAAGCTGGGGTTGGGGTCAGAAAGGAAAGAAAGGAAGATGAGGTGCCTGGAAAGAGGAGGGGCTGCAGATAACCTGGAGGGTGAACGTGAAGAGGTGGGTCCTGGCCACACCTGTCAGTGAGCCGCCATACCTGCATGCCCAACTACAGTTGCTCCATTAGAGAACAATGTCAACGCACCACTGGTTCCGTAGAAACATTTGCCGCAATTTCCGAGCAGTGAACTTGCAAGACAGGCAGCAATGTCTCCCACTTAGGAACTGGACCTGAATGAACCTAGAGCCTGTCAGATACACCCGGGCCTTGAGGACAGGCAGGCTTACTGTGGTGTGGATCACAATGTATCATACGACATGATTCGATTTTTTTAAAAATTAAAACATAACTCTTAAAATGACAAGTACTCAATATATATGAATTACCTACACTCCCTACATTCTTCTTAGATTCCAAATAAGATTCGAGGCAAGCAATAATTTATAGGCAGTTCTTCCCTCTATAAATCGGCAGGTTTAAGGGACTCCTTCCCCACCCTCTGCATTGCATCCTAAGCACAGCTCTGAGGCTGAGCCATAATGAGTCACACTGCCCTCAGTCACCCACTGTCTCCTCTGAAGCCAACACCAGACACAGCCAATTTCAAATGCTTTCTTTAAGCATCTGAATTTCTAGAACTTGACAACCTGTTTAAAAATTATTGCTTATTCAACTATTCTTCAAGAGATCAAAACCACGGTTATTAGTCACACTCCCAAAGCTAGTGCATGCCTGGGCACAGGACAAATGAATGAGTAGGAGCAGCAAAGAGCTGACTCTGTCCATTCTGTCTCGCTCCTTTTCTCCTCTTACCTGCATCTCCACTTCCTGGCTCCACGAGGTGCTATTTGTGCAGAAGGGGTGCCATGTGTAGCGCCCCAAAACGCCCACGCTCTCCGCTCCCCATCTGACAACAGTGCAGCACACAGTTCTCACACCCACTTTCCTCCCTGCTCTACCTCATGCCTGGCCGTACCCTCCAGTTCGTCTCTGCTTCCAGCTCTGCCTCTGACCCACCAGTGAAAGCCCTGGTCCACTCACTCCAGGGCTCATACCCTTCACGAGACTCCTTCAAACTGCTCTCTATTCTCATTTAATGATAAGCTAACAATTTCCCTCAAAGCATAATCTAAAACCATTGTGCTTGTCTTTCCTTACTTTGCTCATATTTTAGCATGCTGACCTAAGTTTATATCCTACGGTGAATGCACTAAACGTACTTTCTTCTTCCCAAAAGCCACTCTAAATCAGTATTTCTACCAAGAAAATAATTTCTCAACCATTTCTCCTGCTTTTGCAAAAGTGTTTTCTTGAACCATTCAATAAATTCCCATATATTGTACCTCAATGTTATTTCTAGAAAACGCCCCACACCTAGTTCTCCATCTTAAGAAAATAGTACCCTTCCATTCAAA